ACGTTCTTGAAGGAACACAGGGAGGGGAGGAGCGGTCTTTGAAGTAACACAGGGGCGGGAGGAACGTTCCTTGAAGGAACACAGGGAGGGGAGGAGCAGTCTTTGAAGGAACACAGGGGCGGGAGGAACACAGGGAGGGGAGGAACGTTCTTTGAAGGAACACAGGGAGGGGAGGAACGTTCTTTGAAGGAACACAGGGAGGGGAGGAACGCTCTTTGAAGGAACACAGGGGAGGAACGTTAATTGAAGGAACACAGTGGAGGAACGTTCCTTGAAGGAACACAGGGAGGGGAGGAACGTTCTTCAAAGAAACACAGGGGAGGGACGTTAATTGAAGGAACACATGGAGGGAAGGAACGTTCCTTGAAGGAACACATGGAGGGAAGGAACTTTCCTTGAAGGAACACAGGGAGGGGAGGAATATTCCTTGAAGGAACAAAGGGAGGGGAGGAACGTTCTTCAAAGAAACACAGGGGAGGAACGTTAATTGAAGGCACACAGGGAAGGAATGTTCCTTGAAGGAACACAGGGAAGGAATGTTCCTTGAAGGAACACAGGGAGGGGAGGAACGTTCTTTAAAGAAACAAAGGGAGGGAAGGACTGTTCCTTTAACACAGAAAAGGGGAGGACTGTTCCTCGAAGAAACACAGCCAAGCACTACCAAGCAGTTGTCGTGAAAGCACTGGGTGATACCGTTGAACGCAGGCCGCAAGGTTGAGGGGCGGGCGACCACGTACCACCATTACAATACGGTCGTGGATGTTGGGGGCGGAGCCTCCAGAGTTCTACCGCCGCGCCTCAAAGTCTTTTAACTTTATTTTTATTTCTCTCAGGTACATTCCATTTGCCCCGAATATTTTTGTATGTACTGTGTATATATTTAATTATTATATTTTGTACATTCTTCTTAATAAAAAAAATTGTTTTTTATGGAAATTCTTCCGTTGCTTTATTTTTTTTCTCATCAACATCTTAAATAAACCTTTTCCCGTTTTTATTACAGACCTTATTTTAGACTCCTCCCCCTTATTAGCAAGACAATGACATTTTAAAATAAAACTTTTTCATTACATTCTTTATGATGTCATCACTGGGGTCTCTGATGTCATCACTGGGGTCTCTGTGCTATGCAAGCAGATCGCGGCTGGTGGGAGGGGCCTCACTCCTCTCAAGAGCCCTCAGCTCTGACGCAAGCAGTGGGCTGGCTCTTGGGAGGAGCTATGCAAATATCATAATGCCTTCACGGGTGGGTATCGGTCTGGAGAAGTGGGCGTTCCTAGGCATGTCTTAGGTAACGCCCACATGTGATGCTGCGCGTCCATGATTAAAAGAACTGGAATCCAATGAATGAAATGGGCGGGCCAGTCAGGCTGGGGAGGAAAGAACTGAATGATGCCGACTGTCCTGCAGCAAAGAAATGAGGCTTGCTCTCTCTGACTTGCTGCAGCTTCTAATGCACATTGTGAGAAGCTCCCAGCGTGCAGTGACATCAGAGGAAGAGGGGAGGAGCCGGTACAACTGCGCAAGACTGGAGGGAAGGGCGGAGCCTCCGCTGGTCCATGGAAATAAATTTGATGTTACGCTGTCCCTTTAAACGCGCGCAATTGTCTTTCTGCAGCAGGTCGGTAGAAGCGTCAGATGAGTTGCTCTGAGGAGAAGCAGCTCAGGATACACGCGGCGCTGGAGATTTCAGAGAGAGATTTTGGTTGCGGCTTCCTGTCTGCGTTTCTCAGAAAGACGTTTCTGGTACGGCGGAGGCGTTGAGCCACCTCGGATATCTGACACATCTTACGCTGCTATGGGGAGTCTGTATCCTAGCAACGCGACATGAAAGGGACCGCGTCTACACAGACAAACGACAACTTATATTTATATCAATCTTCTAAAATAACATTGTGACATTGTATCTCGCTCACACACATGGGGGGGGGGAGGGAGGGCGCCATATCTGATCACCGGGAAACATGCTGCCATCGCCTGAAAATGCTGGTCGCCTGGCTCTCATGCTGGCCGCCTGGCTTACGTGGTGGACATCTGGCTTTCACGCTGGATGCCCGGCTCCCATGGCGGATGCCGGGCTTTCATGGTGGAACCGCCCCCTGCTGGCTCTGTCCTACAACAAACCTGAAAACTATTTTGAGCCCAATTTTTTCTGGCTAAGAATAGCGCAAAGCAGCCGACCTCCTTCTCCATAATCCTGGCGAGATCTTCTGCGGTGGCTTCTCTGCCAACAAGAGGCTCTGAACGGAGGATTCGGCTCCCTGAGATCAGATCAAGGTGATGCCTACAGACGGCTCTTTGAAATTGGTGTCACTAGAAGTGGAAATTTCCATCCCATGATCAAAGCAGAAAGAGAGTCACACACCACATTGCATTTTTCTGCACTTCGCCTCCAAGACAGGCCTTATGGCTATATTTTTGCACTCCGGCCCCTAGGGCCTGTCAGCGTGGTGCACTGACACTTATTATTTATAGCACTCTATGCACGACATGATTGGCCTTTGTTTTTGGCATTGACCCCACAGATGCTGATGGTGCAGGTTTCTTCAGGTTTCTATTCCTGATGCTGGGAGGAGATTCTGTGCCCTTATATAGGGTTCTCCGTCTCCTCCCACCCAGGAGGGGGGTCTCTCTTCGGGGGAGCCCCCTACCTCTTACTGTGAGGGACCTGTTTCGGCAGGTCCCCAAAGGATCGGGGTCCACCAGCCTACGGGTTGGTGGACCAACAGTCTCAACCCGTCAGGAGCCTTGCGCCCCGGGGGGTCAGGAATCGAGGTCCCTTCTTTATTGAAGGACCTTGCACCCTTGTGCACGTTTTTGTGTGCTGTGATTTCACGGTTCACTTTTATTGTTCACAGGGGGAAGTTTGTTTAGACGCGCATTCCACGAGCAGAAAAAAAGAAAAAAGGATGCTGCAGCTTCTAATGTACATCGTGAGAAGCTCCCAATGTGCGGTGACCTCAGAGGAAGCCATTTCAGTCCAGTAGGAGGAGCTGGTACAACTGTGCAAGACTGAAGGGAAGGACGGCGGTCAGATAGAAGACTGAAGACAAAAAAGGAGCCCTTCTGTAGAATGTAATTAATTTTAAACAAACAACCCCGGGCCTGTAAACCTCAAACAACACAGACAGCCAATGAAAACACAGAATCCCAGCCCAATACGATCTGTGCTAATGGGAAATCTGTGAGTTTCCTCTATAGCGCCACCTAGGGGGCGAGTGTTCTGGTGCAACCTTTCGTGCGTCTGTAGTAGTTCTGTTATGTGCAATGTCAACCCTTCCCGCCGGACTATATGTGGTAGCATGGAAATGGGCCTTATACCGTACTGCTACTACATATACGAGTCTGTGTTGTGCGCCCCAGCATTGTAAATGCACCAACAGCTCTTGGTCGCTTAGCAAAGATCAGCAGATCTCAAGATCACTGCGACAGCCAATCACATGATTAGGAAGCCCCAGAAATGCCTCCGGCGTTAACACTCCTTAAAAGGGACGGCAGCAAGGGGTTAAGTATCGCTTCCGCCCTCGCCAGAAAAAAACATTTGTGAAACGGTCTCATCTCCTGCCTCCTGACGCCCTCTGCAACGCCGTCACAGCCACCATCCAGCGATCACGCCACTGTTGTAGGGTCAGACCTCCTCTCTGTTCCCATGGTAGGCACGTCTGAGCCGGCTGCTCCCACCTGTAAGGGAAGAGGGGGTGGGGAGGCAAAAAGTCACATGAGAAAGCTGCTCACTGGCACTCGAGCGTACAAGTTGGATAAACAGCTCAATATTTAGGGGATCTCAGTAAGTAGTAATAGTAGTAATGGTCAGTAGTAGTCCCGGGAAGGACAGGTGCTGTGTGCGATTCTACGCAGCAGCCTTTTCTTCCCTATGGGAGTACGCGGCTTTTACGCTCACCCGAACTGCACATCCGTGCGGGTGTCTGTGCTCGATGTGCGGTCGCGTCCTCCCATAGGGAAGAACAGGCTGCTGCGTAGAATTGCACACAGCACCTGTCCTTCCAGGGGAACGGCCCGATACGGCCATGCACGCCGGCCATGCAATTTGTACATTTATATCGCAATTCCCTCCAGTGTCGTAGAGAATTGTTACATTGTATCTCTTGTCACTAAGGCCTCATTCACACAGCTAAGTGTCGGCGCGTGCATGGCCGTATCGGGCTGTTCCCGGGAAGGACAGGTGCTGTGTGCGATTGTACGCAGCAGCCTGTTCTTCCCTATGGGAGAATGCGACCGTACGCCGTCGCACGCTCACTCACTCACTCACTCGAACTGCACATAGAGCATGGACACCCGCTCGGGTGAGCGTACAGCCGCGTACCCCCATAGAGAAGAACAGGCTGCTGCGTACAATCGCACACAGCACCTGTCCTTCGTGGGAACAGCCCGATACAGCCATGCACGCCGAACGGGCCAACACTTAGCTGTGTGAATGAGGCCTAAGGCCCCATTCACACTGCGCGATATCGCGCAAATGCTTGCATCGCGGCTAAATCCGCTCCAAAAAGGGTCCTGCTGTAGCGACACACGACCCGCGACAGCAGGACCCTTTGCCCCATTGAGAAGCATTGGAGAGCGATATCGCGCAGTAAATTGCCGCGATATCGCGGGAATTACCGCGCGATAAATCGCTCAATGTGAACGGGGCCTAAGATGTGTTTGTTTCCTGTGATCCTCGGCGCCACCTAGTGGCCATAATGGGGTATTTTCCCTTTCCCTCCATGTCCTTTGTTCTATTATGGGCAATAGTAAAAATAGAGATATTCAAATCAGAGCAGAATAAATGCAACTCCAGAATAAATGCACTAAGAACATTCCCTTAGCTCCATTCTCACAACAGCTGGTTAGATTGCACAGGATGAATGTACACGCAGTCTGCTGAACACTAGCTATGCATCTTTTCCCCCCTATAAATAAATATAAACCCTAAATTAATGATGGGGTCTATTTTATAACTCGGCCTTCTCTACTGTCCAGTAAGGGACACAGCTTTATAATAAGCAACCTAGTGTTACACCGCCGACTGTAGGCACATAGAAAACTCCAGGCTGCCCTCTTGAGGCTATAAGCGCAGCGCTGCACACCCCCCCCCCCCATACAATTACAAAGGAAACAGTTTGAAG